TTCCAAGGAAAAATACATAAAAAGAAATTGAGTAAAAAAATCATTAAAAAGATACTGTAAATTTGCGCTCTACCATAATCATGATGTTTTCTGTGAGTTACCCAACGTTTATGGCTTCCGGTTTGATCTTCCACTAAATTAAATGCTGAGCCTATTTTTTTGGACATAAAAGGCCCAGATATATGATAGTGTCCGAATCTAACAATCAAATGTTTTCCGATAGCTATAAGATTTTTCTAGATCTGGAAAGGTTAATGATGTGATGGACATAAATGCCGCCACCGACCTTCGTTGACGCCTCAATATTATAGTATAACCGTTGTCCCATCCCGCCCATCTGTTCCACTGTTAGTGACAGAGCTAGGCAAGATTGTGGTGCCTACCCGGGCGGGTGAGCTTACAATACGCCCATGAATGCGCGTTGGCGAATGTATGCTGATATACTCCTGCTCCATATGATGCTGGTGAATCCTTTAATCGTTTTTACGACCGCCATGACAAAAATGGGGTAATGCTAATCTAGATCACTTTGCTTAAGCTATATTCAAGTGTAGCTCTGAAACAAATCTTAAAGTAAATAAGACTTCGTTTGACAGTTGATCTCTGGCTTAAGATGTGACCTTCAGATATTCAAGTCGGTTCATTACTTTATCAACAATGGCTGTAAGTAATGTCGTGAATATCGATTTAGCAACGAGCGGGACTGCCGTCGGCTTAATGTTGGCTACTGTTTGATGCATGTTGCAATCGGTTGATGGTACTGTCATTGCATCGATTTTAACTTCAATCACTTTCAAGATTTTCAAGAATTGGGTTTTATAATTTGCCAAATTTTTTTAAGTTAAAACACCAAAAAGATAAAGGAAATGCTATAATACCAAGCTATACTAAAAATAAAAACAATATATTCATTATCTCGTTGCTAAAATCAGATTTTCAGTCAATGCTCATTTAGAGTAGTAATTTTTCACGAAAACAATAGAGTAATCTGTGAATATGATTAGACGAAACTTTCAGTTTTGTTCTAACGATCGCCAAATGAGTCACACCGACTTGCATAAGTTGTACAGCGCTTACATTATCATCCAGAGGTAGTGGTGCACCAGTTTCCCAAATAAAATAATGAAATCCGGTGAAATTTCCAGATAGTTTATACAATGCGTTCATAATTCTCTCTAGTAACTCTATCACAAAATAGGCGGCATAATTTTCTCTAGTAACTCTATCACAAAATAGGCGGTCAGTAGCGACATCAAATTGGAACATTTTTCGTGAAAGGTCAAAATGGTTGTGCAATATTTGACATTCCATTAAACCCTGTGTCCGGTTTACCTTTAAAAACGTCATAGTTTCGATCTGGGTCGTGTTTTATCAGTCAAACTCCGACCTATCTATGTTGGACTAGAATTCTTTTTTATCTTTTATCGATAAAACAGCCTCAGTATTGGAACGTGATCTCGGGTATGCAAAACCGTATCTCCGGTCGATTCCCTCGGTCCAATCAGTCACGTCTGTAAGTCGTGTAGTTGATGTCTGTATACATTACCTTACTATTAAAACATTACTACTTTTGACCATTGTGTTTTCGTTATACATTTTGACAAATATAAATATTTACAAATCCATAATAGCGATAACTCAATAGATACAATTGTGTCAGTTATATCTACTAAATGAAGTGAATTTATGAGATTTCAATTTAAAGTCCCTAAATTTTGTATGTGAAATACATTTTTAAAAATTCACTTAAATTTGTTATCGATAAAAATACCAACACTACTTAACATACCCAATTTCATAAGCCATTAGACCAAAATTTTACGTCATTATAATTCCCGCAGGCTTAAGCCGCAGTGTATGCTATAAATGAGATATACAAATGTAGTGTTATTTTGAATTTTACAGGCACATAAGAAATAAATAAAAAAAGAATTAAATTATGTTAGAAAACTACAATTGCGATGTGGTGCATGCTAGCCACTTGTTGTTTACAACGCCATTTTCAAAACCTCTTTCATTTGGCCTTATCTCCGGCGAGGCTTGGACACAAGTTGTTCAGCAAGAAAAATATAAAGAAAAGCCTCACAACTTTTGCCTGTCTAAAATTAAATGCACAAGATTGGCCATGATTTACAATTATTTAGAGAAACTGCAAACAACTAATAAATGGAATAAGATAATTAACGTATCAATGATACTTCATCCATTCCGTAATCGATTTTAAAAGTAATTTAGCTTTTACAAGAAAATTTACTTTAAAATGCCAATACTTCAGCTATAGTCTTATTCAAATTTGTTGTAATTAGGTATTGATTCGTTTGTGAATTGAGTCTGGTCTGCTTAAGTTAGAAAGGAGCCTCGTGAATATAAAAAATATGCTTCAAAACCAAATAGGCGTTGAGATTTAAAATTACTGTTGCTAGCTGTTGCAATATTTACAAGACAAACTACATTTTAATGAGCGAAATCAGAGATTATTATGTGCACAGGTCATTAAAACGAGATTTTCCCATCAAGCAGTTATCCGTATTATTTTATTTATTTGCTTCGTGGAGATAAACACGCGGGTATATTTTCCATCTGAAGTTAAGCGGTTACCTAACATTTTTCTCAAGTTAATATCCTCCCCGCATTGAGTCATTACGTCCCAACGATCCGAGTGCATGAAACGACTATCCTATTGTTCGAACCATGATTTCCTGGGGTCAGAAGTCTTATAAGCAGAACGGTAATACTATAACATCGCTTAGTACCACGAAAAATGTCACCAATTGCCTCATTAACCGTAATTGCCACCTAAATAATTAACAAGAAATAGCATCTTAATTAATTTGCTGAACTATAAGAACAATCTTTGCGCATCTTAAAGAGTTTTCTTAACGCGTCCTAAAATCTTACTATTCTACTAAACATCTTGGAAGCCAATATTCCTTATAGTCTTTTACTTTGGCAGTTTCGTAGCTTATTTTATTTTGTTTTTACGACTGAGTCACGAAAACCTAAAATTAACGTATCCAAAGATTTACCTGTGAGACTTGATAGAGCACTAGATGATATTTTATTACTGTGATATTTCAATTGGTTAATGTATTAAAAAAAATGTAAAGTTTACGATCAATAAATGCCGCATCATTTAACTTTGAAAAATTTTCTAGTAAATTTATCGAATATGTCATTTGGAGACATAACTTTAAATTCTAAAAACGTTATTTTCTTTTCATGTTAAAATCGAAATTATTTCTTTATTTAGATTCAGATTGATACATTAACAGCAATGTATTATAATATACATGTAGAATAGGGATCGCAGCGCATAAAATAAAACTTTTTTTTTTTTTATGATTGATAATTTACTGGTGGCCCGAAGGCCTTTCCGGTTTCACCAGGACAGGTGGGCGAGCAAAGGCTCAGCCAAGAGGGGCGGGATTAGCTAACAACTGCCCGAGCGCCTCCGAAGGAGACCTAACAACTCAAGAGCAATTGCTTCGCGAATGAATCTACTACCGGATCGGAATCGCGACCCGCTGAGAAGATCCGGCGAGAAACTCAGCGAGCTGATTCATGGGTTAGGTTGCACGGCGAACTCTTTGTCGAGTTCGACGAGTACGGTTACCGAGGTCCCTAAGCCTGCTCCTAGTGTTAGAGCTGAAGGCGTCTAAAGCAAAGGTTATTGGATCTGATGGATCTGTAAGGACGTGTCTAGGGCGTCGACGGTGACTGGCTCCTGCGTGATCAGGATTCGGGGAGTAGTCAGCGGCGGCAACGATAAGGCGATTATCATGACAAAATAAAACTTCGACTGTTCCAAAATCTTCTGTTATAATAATAATAATAAATAAAAAAAACACTTTTATTACGTCTTGCTCATTTTTTATCCGTCTTCACCATCTTCCTTTTCTCTATCATTCTCTTCTCCCTTTTTTCCGTTTTCTCTCACTCACATCTTAACGCTCCGTTCCACACTATTTTCATACGTTCCGTTCTTACCAAATCCTACACCCATATTATTATAATAATACCAAAGGAATGATATAAAGAGATTGTGACAAAACTTCTTCAAACAAACATCAAATACAAAAGAAAACATCTGTGAACGAGATCATCAAATACTCAGATGCTTTCTTTTCATGACAAATTCTAATGACTATTTGATGAAGTACTGAATAGGACATAGTTGACAGTATTTGAAGGTCGTGAAGAGAATATGAAAATATCTACGTCATATAGGAAATGTAAGTGTATACGTTATTTAATAAATATAATAGATATTTTATAAGTTTCGTTCTCAAAGTACCCAAGAAAAATGAAATTGAGCAATTTCCAAGAAATAAACGCGCAAGTGTTTTGTTGTGCGGTTTCATTGGAAGCCAAAAGATTTTTTTATCGATCGACAACCAATACCCGCCGCATCCTTCCTTAAATGTATGGCATCGCCTTCCGTTAGTGTTTATTCGGAAACAGCTGCTTTGGGGGAGTCAAAGGCACCTGTTGAATTGTTCCTTTTTATTCCCACCAAGGGCCGATGGATTATTACCGGATGTTCCCATGTGAAAGGACCCAAATTTGAGCTTAAAACTCCAATTGAAGTGTTTCAGTGATTCTGACAATTTAAATTTTATTAATTAATACATTCGTAGATGTTATGAAGTAACCAAATAAACAATTACCGTACTTTCTATGATATGCTTACAATTCTATACTAAAATGAGCTTTGTAAATCTCCAATCGGTTCTTAGATTATTTTGCTCTTGTATCGTAAAATATTTCCACAGCTCAAGTCTCACAATAGAAAACCGCACTAGAAACGTTTGAAAAGTTTTTTGTTGTCTTCTCTGGCTGCAACATTCACCTGTCATGTCTCCAGTGCTAAATCTGAAAGCAGATAATTCCACTTGTCCTTGTCGTGTACTGCATAGACAATGCGCTCGCGAAAGAGACAACGCTCCTTGATTTGCCTTTCTGACAAACGGCGAGCTTGTAGCAGCTAGCACGCGCCGCTCCATTCGTTCTCCGAACGTAAGCTTGTAAGGTTGTGGAGGCGTCTCTTATCAGTATTTATCGCGTTACGATCGTGTTTCGTTAAGTTGATAAAATTTAAAGTTTTTCATCAACGCAGTGAGTTCTGAACATTTTCCGTGCGTAGCGCCAAGTGTTTAGCTGTGTTGCATAGTGAGATGAGTTTTGAACTGTAATATTTGTTTAAGCAAAGTGGACAGTGTTTTTTATTTTCGGCTAATAAACAACGAAAATTGTCCGCATCCAGGGCATCGTGAACGCTCGCAGTGAAAGTTATATTCACTGTTTTCGCAGTTTGAACTTCTAAAAGTCATCGAGAACACATTACTAGGCGGCCGACCGGAGTTTTCTTTTTAGAGCAGTTATATATAATTGAAAAAGTTGTGAACGCCTATGGGAGGCACGCAGCTGGGAAGTCCTTCAGCTGTGTGAATTAAGTTATACCAAATTTATCGTGGATTTATACTGCAATATCTAAAAGACGATTACAGAGTTCGACGTGAAGATGCATTTCTGGAACCGCTAAGTCGATTGCGTTTTGAAAGACGATTTTTGGCTTTATGAGGGAGCGGAGGTCTTTTCCAATAAGTAGCGAGGTGGCGCTCAATAATGATAAAGATGGAACCGGGAAAAGTTTGGTAGTGAACACTGTTTTATGTGGTGTCGTCGATGAACTGTCCAGTGCGAGAAATAGACGAGGCTCGTGGGTTCGTCAGGCGGTCATGGGAGTGCTACGGTGGAAGGATCTGACCGGTATTCGGACCAGTACAACGCCCGACCAGAAAGAGGTAAATCATAAATAAACTAATGTAAATTGCGTTACTCATGCAATGACATAAGTAGCTGTTGATAAGCTTAGGTCATACCCAACTCTATGGAGTAGAATAAATTACATATTAAGAGTAGGGTTCCGGAAATTCTAATTACCTACTAAGGTTTTTTTAATTTTTTTAATGGAATATTTAGAAAGCAACGAATTAAACTTTAAAAGTTGAATGTTTAATGAAGAGCCAAAGCTCATTTGTCACTCCTAGAAATATGTGTTTATATTCTGGTTGAGCTAAATCTAAAAGCAATAAATCGTATTTCCGAATAACTTTTGTAGACTCGTTCTTAAATTTCTTTATAAATTTCATTCGAATTTTATTCCAATACTCACTCTCCACTCAGTACCAAAATGAAATAACGAACATATCTTGTATCTACATAGGCGTTTATAATTACAGAGATGATTGTACGTTTGTTAACATTTCTTATCTACCACTGCGTTCAATTGTTGGTAGGACTTGAACATTTGGTTTTGTTTACAAGAAAATGCATGATATCTTCGAATCATTTGATATAATATAATTCGACCTCATTTCCACTAGATGTTCCGTGAACACTTTCATTCATCTACGCAATAAAAAATAATAATGATGTAGTGATTTTTTTGCAGTTCGTAAATGAGCGAGTTTCTGTAATACTCATTTCGTCATCATAACTAATTAACAGCTGACGCTTGAATTGTAAACAATAGATATACAACATTGAATAATATAGCATCAATAAAATTCTTAATAAGATATCACGGTTTCAACCAATAAGATCGTATAACTAATTCATGTATCTATTGCGGTTCCCTGTATTATTTTATGATTAATAATAAATTTCATAACGATATTCATATAACCCTAGATCACTCTGCCAAGTGTCCCGTGGATCAAACTATAATTAGTTGCCTATAGAAAACACATGCGATAATAAATTCAATTGACCCGTTTGTAAATTTGAAATTTTTGATATTCTACTTCTTCACGCTCATCCTCCGTATTCCTAAATATTACATTGTTCTATCAAAATCTCGAAAATAAAAATTGTCATACATATAAAATTAGCTTTATAAATAATAACGGCATTATATATGAAGTTGTATTTGTGTATCTTATATCTATATTATCTTCAAGAACACGTTTTTCAACTACTGAGTCATGAATTATGTAAACACAATGACGAACGGTGAAAACGCAACGCTCTTGATCTTGGTCAAATCGTGTCCGGTATTATTTTTACGTTGACAGAACTTGGCTTGGCTATGATCCTCTTTTTACATACTTCTGAAGCAATTATTCTTTGTTTTTCTTTCAACTTTTTAAGCTGTTTATTAGTTTTACCTCTGTATAACATAATTATTCAAAGCAATTTTAACCAATTTCAAGGCGTTCGATTAGCTTGAAAATGTACACAGCTATGAACGGCCGATGATAATACAAATATTTTTTTCTGACCTTGACTTCATATCATACCCCGGACCAATAGTATAGAGATTTGATTATTTTAAGTTTGAGTTTTTCGGCTTGCTATTTTAGTTATATCTTTTTTTTGTATTGCTTAGATGGATGGCCGATCTCACAGATCACCTGGTGTTAAGTGGTTACCGGAGCCCATAGACATCTACACGTAAATGCCGCCACCTGCCTTGAGATATGAGTTGTAAGGTCTCAGTAGGTATAGATACAACGGCTGCCCCACCCTTGAAATCGAAACGCGTTACTGATTCATGGCAGAAATAGGCAGGGTAGTAGTAGTACCTACTCGTGCGGACTCACACCACTACCATCAGCAATTACGCAAATTATAATTTTGCGGGTTTGATTTTTATTACACGATGTTATTCCTTCACCGTGGAAGTCAATCGTGAACATTTGTTAAGTACGTATTTCACGAGAAACATTGGTACCCGCCTGGGATTCGAACACCTGGTGCACAACAGGAATGCACCGGACGTCTTATCCTTTAGGACACGACGACATCAAAACACAAGTTGTTGTTTAATACAAGACCTTATTGCTAATAACAAAGCTGCCAAATTGGGTTTTAACAATTTTTAGATTCCACTAAAAATTACATATTTTATTGGTAAAACGTAATTTATTATTGGAAACTAGTATTATAATTAATACTACCACCTTATCAATAATGTCCTACAAATCAATACCTTACATACAAAAGGCTGTATGAAAATCCTATCGATCAAAACAGGAAATTATGTATCGAATACTAATGAAACATTACAATGACCTCGTTTGTAACTAAATATAATTAACAAGTAATAATCTGACCAGAACAAATTATTTCATTGAATATATTAAATATATAATAAGACAAAATACTATCTGAAATATATTTTATTGAATATAAAATCAGTACGTAGCGCACAGGCCATCAGTCTAATTCGCATAATTTATTATTAGATTTAGAATTTATTTCAATAAAGCATATGTTGAGTTGGTTAATCTATTTTATCGGTATAGTCTGTGTCATTGCATTTTTCCCTCCATTACTGCTGCCAAATTTATACAGACTGTTTGTGTCTAAAAGGTTATGTTTAATAAATTCAATAAAACTATCCAAGTTATTATTTAAATACGAGAAAGTAGGTGAACAAACATCATATATGACATGGCATAACACAAGATAATAACTTCCAACATCGTTGATTTTACTTTCATATCTTAAAGCACAAATAAGCCATTTGCGAAATTCTAAACGATTTAAAGTCAACAAATAACGTTAATAAAACGGTTGCTATTATAATGAAAAAATATTCGAATGTTAACTGCTTTTTTTTCATTAACGTAAAGAAATTTCTCTGTAAGCAAAATAATATTCCGTCAGTAATATTCTTGATATAATAAGGCATACGTGCACTTTTTTAGGTCATCATGAAACGGATACAAATCCTTCCCCTTAACTAAAACGAAGCAATTTTCAGTGTTAAAGTATGTACGTGCGATAAGGAATAATAAAATTATGGTGTGTGGTTTTCCTGTAATGCAGGCTATTTCCATTAATTAGCTTAAACGCTGCTGATAAGTTCACGTACGCAATAATTGAAAATTAGTACATTTAAAAATTGTTTTGTTTCAAGTAAATCATCATGATTCTAATGGAGACGTAGATTAGGTTCCGGTTTTTGTTTCAAAGGAACCATTTAGGTTTCTGTTTGGATTGAGTATAATCTTTATCCTTTGTGTTTCGGATTGAGGCAGCTATGTGATACGACAGGTGTGGCATTTCTAGGTTTTGGCATCCACTTAATACTGAGCTCTCTACACGCCTAAAAAGTACATACTTTTGTTTTTTAATTACATTTTTAATTAAATTTTCTTTTAAAAACTATATTAAGGATCCAATTGTGACAGCTTATGACAGTTATTGTGAGATATCAATGATATCATCTAAGATTTCTGTAACACGAGCGATACTGTTTTTCCTTTGAATGAATTGCATTCAAATTTATTTCAATTCAATTCCAAATAAATAGTAAATAAATTGATATCCGCTGGAGGTTTCTAAACATTAATACGTGTTAGTAAATAATTAATTGCACGGAATTGCATTAAATAATATAAGGAAACATCCTAAATTTCATTCTTATTCACATCAGAGTACAGATGCTCGTTTTCCCTGTGGACGTTGCCTGAAACGGGGCGGTCTAATGAAAAATTACAGCCTTTCGTAGACACTTAATAAGCGAACGTTCGTGAAGATTTATTGAGTAGAACAGGCTTTATGTTGAGCTTCTTTAGTTTTAAACACTCTAAGGAAGTAACGACTAAGTGCATTCAGAATATTCTATTGAAAAGTTAGATTGTTCTGTTGCAGTGGTCGGGGAACTTTTTTAATTATTACCCCAAAATATTTTTGTGTAAGTTGATATTACCCCATGGCGAAGAACAAAAAAAAACGAAATCGCTTCTTTTTAGCATCTTTCATATTATAGCCCCCATGATAATTTTAAAAAGAAAACAATAACTAAACATTTAATTTAAACATCATTTGTTCAATTTATCAATGTAATACCTTGTAATACAAAACGCTAATAATAGTAATATATGTAATACACAGTTGTGGAAAAAATCGCCCTTACAGAAAATATAAGTAAATAATAATTTCTTGTTTTGAGTTTGAAATCACAACAATTCTAAAGATGTTTCGCTTCGATATATACTTTTTACGCACAAAAGTTTCATTTTTACCCGCCAAAATTTCATTTTACCCCATTTGGGGTAATTTACCCCGGTTCCCCGACCGCTATTCTATTGAGTAGGACAGCATTGATAGGTTTTTATATCAACGTCATAAATGATTCAAATTTGAATATATTAAAAAGAACATTCTGAAATACAAATACTGACGTCTCATTTTAAAAAAAGAATGAAAAGAATTCAAGTAATATTAAAAAAGACGTATATCATTTTTAAAGTTAAACAGAACGTTTGTATTGGTAACAGATTCATTACAATAATCGACTTTCTAGAAAATTCGTAATATACAACATGTAATAATTCGTGGATATACGTAAATAAATCGTTTGTACGTATTGCATCAGTGAATGGGTTCGTGTGGATGTTGATAACGAACGAACAAATCGATTTAATGGGAAATATCGATTATTTCACTAGTGCAGTGGAATATTTATATGTAGGTAAAGAGGCAAAAACTAAACAGTTAAAAGCATGTTTTATATTATCTTTGTAGATTGATTATATTACAAGAAAAGAAAGTCAATTATAGACTAAAACAGTAAATGTAATATATATATATATAAAGCGTAGCTAAATCTTTTTGCGTCTGCTTTAAAGGAATGATCTAAATAAACATAGCATAATTGTCGAGACATAACGAGAACCTCCGGGGAAAATATATGCTATAAATCCACAAAGGTGTTTTTTTTTCAATAAGTAGGTCAGGCTTTATGTATTATAGTCCATCTAGGAATGCACACGGGTAAAAGATTTTTGTA